TCTCGGAATAAAATACTTTACAATTATATGCAAAATGACTTATCGTTTTCAATAGCTCGGTGGAACTCTAATGGTGGGGGTTAGATTCGAGTACTTGGAACATTAAATTCTCTTCTAGAAGTCCTTTTCAAAATTCCCTTTAGTTACTATAAAAGAAAAGTCTACCGGGGGTGGGTGGGTGGGTGGGAACACTTGGAGGAGTGGATAGCACGCGTGACTCGGACCCAGCAAGACTTGGGTTCGAAACCTGGCGCTTCTAGGTCCCAACAAATTACCTTTTGCAAAAAAATTCCAAATGAGCGATTTAAATTGCGACAAGGGGGTCCTACGATGTAAAAAAAGTAAGTCGAGCCAGTGGCTCAGTAGGTAAGACGGCAGAATAGTACGCAAGAGATGAAGGGATCGAGGTGAGCTAGGGAAAAAGACACCACTTTTGCAAGATTTGTACATTTATTATTGTCAAAATGAATCATTTTAAGTATTAAATTTTTTACAAATATAATGAAATATCATTTTCTGCTTATTTTATTTTGTTTGTCAAGTTTTAATTCATATTAAAATATGAATTAAAACTTGACAAACAAAAAGAGATAATATATATATTTGTAAATAAAACGAAGTCAAAGATTTTATGCATTTTTAACATTATAAGTAAAAGCCGGAATCCATTGATTTATGAAAAAATAAGTTCAAGATCATAACATTTGAGAGACTTTGGCAAAAACTGATAATAAACAAAATGGTTTTTTTAAAAACAAATTGGCAACTTTTTATCGAAGTTGACATTAGTACCTTGTTTTTATCGAATTCCATCAAATCAAATTCAAAGGTTGTAACAATTTTAAAAATGCAAATAATCTTCTTTGTCATTCGTGCACTAACGCACACACGCATGTAAGCACACCTTGTCCTGTGTCGTCTTGTTGATATTTGCACACCAAATCGAACAGTAGCCAAATTTTTTTCATGTTGGTAAGATTCCCGGTTGTTTTGCCAATCGATGTTTTTTTTTTTTTTAAATTCTTTACACTAAATTCGAAAATAAATATAATACATGGTGTAACTGTGGACGAAAATTAACTCTTGCAAAGCATTTGAATCAAGAGCGACATAAAGACATGGGCGGTTTACAAGATTATCCAAATCTAAGCCAAATTCAGAATAATATACAAACAAAACTGAAAAAGGTTACGCAAAAGTCAATGTACTTGTAGTGACTTTTCACATCCACTTAAAATTAACTCCGGTTCTCGGTGTTCGGTGATGACAAAATAACATAACATGCAGGACTGATATCTAACCAAGCCCGTCTTTCTGAATCACCCCTTACTCCCGAAAAAATTTAATTGTATAAGAATGCAGAACAACTTTATTTAGAGCGCTCCTCCGCACATATTAGGCATTTTTTTTTTTCACTTTGAAAATTCAAACCAAACGAAGTATTATGGTTTACATACACTTTGGTAGAATATCGATATTAGCGTTAAGAGGAACAAAATAACATTTTTAGATGATAATTCCGTAAAATCCTTAAATAACTGAAAAAACTGTTCGAATGTATTTTAGTGTAACAGATAAAATAATAAATCCTATAATGTAAATTTAAAAAATCTATAGATTTTGCTTAAGAATCATTAATTGTTCACCATCTTTTTGAGCAAAATTGACAAAAGTTGACCGTCTAAAAATTCATTGAATCTTTTTATAATACCCATTACCTCCCGAAAATTGGGCTCTGCGACAGCTCAAGTGATTTTGAAAATTTGGAATGCAAAAGGCTATGATTAATATCAGTCCTACAGAAACATTTTCATGAACAAACGAAATCTAAATGAAGTCCATTTCCCATTTTTTCGACACTTCTGTGTTGTAGTACAAGTCTTAAACGGCATATAAAAAATCACAATCCTGGACATTATTTGCAGCCAACTATAGGAACAAGTTTCTTATCATATAAGCAACAAAGATCTCCAGTCTACTACTGCAATATTTCATTAACTTTCATTATTCTTTTATTTCAGATGGCAATCTTTACGGCAACCCCATGGTTTAACTTTGTTTTAGAAAACAGATATTTGATCCCCGCCCAGCACTGAAAACACCGAGAACCAGAGGAAGTTTATTCACAGACACAGTTCCATATTCATAATTGTTAAAAGATCGTTATAGTACATGTGGACAATTCTGCAGTAACGTGGGCACATTATGCCCGTTAACATAATGTTGCGATTTTTAAGGCTTTATACGCTTTATTAACTGTGTCTTTTGTAGATTTTCATCTCTTCCTTTTTTCGACTGAACACACGATAAATGTTATTAAAAGTTTCCTATATGCATTTTAGGTAATGGGTTTGAAATGTCTTTCCTTCCAAGATTTCAATATCAAGTTCACAGTGAGGTGTCAAGGTGCAGATTTGTCCACACGTATTTTCAGTGACAAATAGAAAACATTTATCTTCTTGGAAATTAACATATGATAATTTTAAAACAATCACTCTATTATTTTTATACAGACATTACATCTGTTAAATGAGAACTTCAAATATAACGTTTCAGGTTGGAAAAGGGACGGATTTCAACCCCGGCCCAAAAGTATACATAAATTACCGTCGTAACACGATGATCAGATAGAGCACGGTACAACGACATAGTAACATACAATTACCAAAAGAAGCAAACCAGCATAATGCAGGGCATACACTTAGTATGGATTTAATTTCTGTGTATACTTAAGTATGGATTATATTTCTACGAGAAGTTTCATAAATAAAACTAGACAGCAAAGCTGACAAATATACAGACACAATACAGGAAACAAGGCAGCAAAACTGACAAATGTTCAGACATTCCGACGCAGAAAAGAGTGCCTCAAATAAGTTTGGCCAATTTTGATGCACTATTATATAATTACTCTTATCCTCTAACATTATGTACAACAGGTAACATGAATATAAAAAAACTAGCGAGTAATTCAGTTTCATGGGCTATTAAAGCCACTGAAAATGCTAATGTGTGAGAAAATGAAATATTCAAACAAACAAACTAACAAATAAACAAACAAACAAGCAAACAAACAAACAACAGAATAATTACCGTAAACGTAATCCAATCATGCCGATTTTCGAAAGCAACCTGCTTCTTTGTCAAACAAGGCCAGTCAGTAAAATAAAAGTAAAATAAAAATATGATTTGGAAGTTATGGGGCAAACGTCACCAAAATTGTGCAAAAAAACAGAATAATTACCATAAATGTGAACGTACCATGCCGATTTTCGAAAGCAACCTGCTTCTTTGCCAAACAAAGCCACCCAGTAAATTTAATGTAAAACAAAAATACGGTTTGGCAGTTATGGGGCAAACGTCATGTGTCGGACAGCGACGGCGACGACACGGACAGACAGACATATCAGAATATATACAGACACTTAAAGTGTCCGTATATAAAAAGCTCATTTCATTCGACTAACACTTTCAATTTGATAAACGTTTTGGAGCAGAATGCTTTAACCAAAAACGACCATAACATTCCGTACTAAACGTCATCCCTGCAAATTAACGAGCAGACAAACGTCGGCATGGGAGGCAAACTTGGCATGGGTGTGGGGTTGTATACGTCGAACACGAAACGTGTCCCTGAATAGGACGCTTCTGGTATCTTCGTAAACGCTACTTAGAGTCACTGGAATTAAAGGAATACATATACATCCATGAAACAATGTCTAAAGATCTGATAAAGCATTGTATGTTCATTACAGCAATTTGTGTCATCCGTTGCGTTATAATTAACAAATTGCAATTAAACCTTAAAATTATACAAATATATATATTTAACCTTCATGGAAAGCTAATGTTATCAGAAACAAAAGGGCGCCCAAAAGGCACTGAGGGAAAGCTAAGAGAAGTATCCTTCACGTCAGTTAAATGTCCCATTGGACATTATGCCCAGAGTGCACCATATTTCGGGAAAACATCGTCAATGCAAAACTAAGAAATGCTACAACACATTTTCTATCATCTGTACGGAACTTACGAGATACTGAAACCAGTTTCATTGTCATCTTTTCGGCCTACATGTGGTAGTGGCGGTAATATGGCATGGGACATCCTTCTTCTCCATCTTTTACTGACCTTGGTCCTATCTGAGCACCTTTCACCAAAACGCTCACCTGATCTACATAATAATGAAGAGGTCACCTACTTTCCGAGCCGAGGCTTCGGTGTAGTTAGTATGAAAAGGCACAATAAGCCTCCATCTCGATAAGAGGATTACGGGTTGATAAAGTCATAATGACACACGCACTTTGTTTTGAAAATTCTGAAAGAAAATGTTCGGCGCGTCGTTTCATTAAATAACTTTTAGTAACCGTTAATTGCATAAACTAATTGCTCGAAAATCACGAAGAAAATATACAACACGTTGCACAAAAAATACAGGAAATCAGTTTAAGTAATCATTAATTACTTAGTATTAACGAAACGATCAGCATCATAATGTGTCCAATTCTGCAATACGCCGTACAGAGCGTCTCTGGGAGATTGTGTACTGATGACGTCACGGTAGACATGCGGTATCATTTAATATTTCACTCCCAAATGCCCAAATCTTTTGCCTCAAGTATCATTTTGGGCCGTATACACGATAAGTTACAGAACAGTTTTAGAAATAAACAGCCAAAATAATGAATAAATAAAAGTTGTTATTCTAATATATTTGGGAGACAAAACGTGGGGCAGATTCAGGATGTTTAGATGTTTCTCCGTTCGTTCGAATAGCTGTAAAATTTTTGATATGTAATTATAATTGATACAGCACATTGACCAGGGAGAGCGGTGCCATGTATCACTTCCATGGTCCAATTTTAATTAACATTCATGCTTCGTTTTACAAAGAATAAATTATACTTCATGCTTTTATTTAACTGATACATTTATTCAGTAAAAAATTTGATGTCCTTTGTCTGTATACGGCCGTATAAATTAAAATGAAAACCCCATGCAAATGAAGATTCATCATTTATATTTAATGCAAATACAAAATAATATGATCAAAATTTCAATTTGTACATGTTATCTTCCCAGTTGCATTTAATCTACTGTAGTCTTTAAATCAGAAATGAATATTATCAGTGATGAGACTGCCATTTAGTGAAAAAGTTGGAAAATTTGGCATGAGGTCAAGGGGTCCGCCTGGGCCAATGATATTTTTAACTCCCAAAATGTAAAAAAATCTGCTGACAGTCAGAAAAATCTCATCCCTGCATTTTACAGCAACAAAGAGTCCATTTTGGGCATCTACAATACCAGCAAACAATGTAATGAGCATGGTAAAACACATGCTCTTGAGAATAACATTCAACTCTTTATATATACATATATACATTAATCAAGTGCATATTCATCATGTCCAATCAGTCTGTTTTATCCTAAGGTTTTCAACTTTAAGTGTAAAGATATACACTGCCTGCAAACAACTTTAAGTAGCCTTGAGTATCAAACCAAGTTCTTTTTACTGCATAGGACTTCTAAATCACTTGTCTGACTCTATTTCTCCTTTTTTTAACTGTCTAATAGAATCCTGTATCAAACAGGAGGCAGAAAGGCTTTTTTTTCCAAAGGTTCACCTCAGAACTCAAACCACCTGTTTTACACAACACGAGCAGAATTCCTAGTCATTTTGATTAAAAAAAAAAAACTTCTGACTAAATCCTTCCATCACAGTGACTTTATTGTTCCATTCTACTCCACCCTCATTTAAAAACATTTCATTTGGTGACGACTTTGAAGATATCTCAATCCAACCCGAGGTGTTGGCCCACCACATCAAATTCCTATCTTGGACCTTGGTCTTCTGGGGGTAAATGGAGTACCTGGTTCTTTTCTTCCTGGGGTGACAATTTGGTTTCTAAAACATTAATTATAAATCATGTCAACCTCATGAAACCGTCATGATCACAATAAAACATTTAAGTGTCATGTAAACAAAGAATTTACATTCCATGTTAATAAGCAGTTAAAGTTGTCCTTCATTTATATAAGTGGTCTTCTGTTGATACAACTTGAACTGAAGTAGACCTGAATTTTGGTCTCAAAATTGAACCCTGGTGAGAAGAGTCATTTCTGCTTTAAGTTAAACTCCTTCTCTCAGCCTCTTTATAGTATTACATGGACAAGCCTGCTTGTATGGAAATGAGAGCCAGTGGGTGTTACCTTTTACTTGTATCAACCAAAGCCTTCTCTTGCTCTTCCTTCCTCAATTTAATCTGCTCCTCGGCTTTCTTCATCTCTTCCTCCATGGCAGTCATGTCCGCTGCTTCCTTCTGGCGGTTTTCCTGGGGGAAAGCAAAAATACAGCATCCTCTGACAGGGTTTTGGTGAAAAGAAAATAGACTGAAGAATCTTGAAATAAAATGGAAGAACATCTCTGTGCTCGCTGATGTCTTGTGTCAATACATTTTTTCTTTGAAACTCTATTAGATATAGGTTCAAAACTTGATTTAAAAAAGAGTAAATCTCAATTAAAATAATCAATTAAATGTTTGTAAATAAATTTATACATGTTATATTTATTGTAGAGTAAAATGTGGAGTCAATAATGATTTGGGGGGAAACATAATATAAAATGATATCAAAATCCATTATAATATCCTCATTACCAAATATTAATCGACTCTGCTTGAGAAACAGAGAGAGAGAGAGAGATGAAAAGCAGAATTAAAACAGCACAGGTACCGTACTTAAAAGATATGTTAAAGTTTTTAAGCCAGTTATAACCCAGATATGTCATATTTTACTCACATTTCTTGTCTTAGATGATTCTTTGACACTATAAAACATTGGTCCCAGTTCAGCTAGCCAGTGTCCATCCACAGCAGTCACACACTGCATGTATTCCTAAAATGAGGGAATGAAGTTATGTGAAACTGTAATATTTACATAATTTTATTTAACAGTTCTACTTCGACATAAAAATCTCAAATTACAAGTGCAGTAGACCCTAAATTACTTCTGCCACTTTGCGCAATTTTGTGAACAATTATTAGCCATTTACACCCAAAGGTGTGCTCATAGCTTGCACAGTTCTTATCATTTGGCATTTCTTATCAAAAAAAAAAAAAAAAAAAAAAATTAAACAGAAGTTAAAGAATAAATAAAAGTAACTTAACCTAAAATGTCATCATCAGTTTATGGAGCAATAAACATTGTCTTGCCTTGGATGGCATGATCAATTCATGGTACAAAAATGTGACCTTATCTTGGATGCCATGATCAGTTCATGGTAGAAAAATGTGACCTAACCTTGGACATCATGACCAATACATGGTACAAAAATGTGAGCTTATCTTAGATGTCATGATCTATTCATTGTATAGAAATGTGACTTTCCCTCTGATGTCATGATGACTTCATAGCGCAATAAATCCATGATCAGTTCATGGCACAAAAAAGTGATCTTACCTTGGATGTCATGATCAGTTCATGGTAGACTATGTAGTCTGGAGTATAACCCATGCCAAACAGTGCACTGGTGGGGTGCAGGTGACACGGCATCCCTGTCCTCATGTTGACATATTCACCAAGACCCTGCAAGTGACAATACAAAGTGTTAACACATTTTTGCACAATGCAAAATAACGAACATTCTATATTTAACTGCCACTAATGAAACTGTTATTGTGACTGATTTGCTTCCAAATTTACATCACAAAGTGCTAATATTCATTGGTGAGGAATCAGGTTAGACCGAGTTCCCATACCTAGATTGATCTAACAGGAGCGATCCATCTCTGAAGGGTTTCTCGCTAAATTGCTTTCAGCTGAAGTGGCTTAGATGTCTGGCATGCCTACTGATGCTGCTAAATGATAATTAATTACCACTAGCAGCTTCAGTATGCCTGACAGACATCTAAGCTGTTTAAGTTGATTGAAATATAATGAGAATCCCCTTTGAGATATATCGATACAGTTAGCACAACAGGGTCTGGAAATGGTCCCTTAACAATGACTTCAGACAAGTTGTTAAAGACTGTCAAACTAAGAAAATCACATCAAAATTCATATGAATTTACACCACTTTACTGTTTTATTTTTTATTGAAAAACTAAAAATTTGATACACATACTTTCTGGCTGTTCAACAACCACACAACAATACCAGAGTTTTACCTTCATCCTTGCTGCCTGATGGAAGTAGGATGAACAGATACACTTCCGGATGATATCCCACTCCTGGCCACAGGACACAAAGTCCATCTTCTGCTGGTCCATTATCTCCTTCAGCTGTTGACGCACCTCACGGACCTAAAACATAGCAATTAAAATATGTTTTCTTCTGTCAGAACTGTGCTAGCCTAATTTAGAGACCCAATAATTGGGGATGTCAGTAAGATTATTTCTAGTTTTATCTTAACGTTAATCTGGTTCTAAATGCAACCATCGAGATATTAAAAAATAGAAATTGGCCTACCATGCAGCAAATGAATTTGCCACTTTTCAAATAATCACATCTCATTTTTTTGACAAACCATTTAAATAATGTTTCATGTATCAGTTTACACACAATATTAACAGGCTTAACAGTACACATGCACATGTTAGAAGATGTATTTCATTGTATGGCTAACTGTTAAACCACAGATAAAATAAACCACAGATAAAAACCAGTCTTTCTGGTATCATCGTACCTTCCTCATTGCCTTGACATGGACAAAGTGTTCCTGACACCAGCTGGAGGAATAGCTGGAAAATGAAACACTTGACTGTGAATTTGTCGTTCATGGAAACAACATAGAACTGCCTACATTTATCTAAGTATTTTATCATAAGATGTAATAAAAGCCTCTGTATCTACTCTATCCACTACTACATCCCCCCTCCTGTTCTCTCTCTCTCTCTCTCTCTCTCTCTCTCTCTCTCTCTCTCTCTCT